GGACAGGGCAGCGCTTTTCACGAGCGGAGATCGCTAGACGAATCATTTAATTATTGTTTTTTTTTCTTATCTCGGCTCTCTTGTTGTACGTTATGTTATTACTCCATTCATGTATACTAGCCTATAAATCCAGCGCTCCCTGAACGCAGTCTCTGGCTTATTGCCAGTCAAGGGCAAGCACGCTGCAGGGACGCCTCTATAATGACTTTGATCTGATCATAAAATCTTTCCGAGTCACAGGGCTCAAGTCCAAGTCAAGTCTCGAGTCCTTGCTGTCAAAGTCTAAGTCGAGTCTCAAGTCTTCTTTAATTATGTCGAGTCGAGTCGCAAGTCATCAAATTTGGGACTCGAGTCCGAGTCAAGTCTCGAATCATGTGACTGGTGTCCACACCCCTGGTGTGCATTATAACGCAGACTATAGCATAGTGTTAACACAACTGCAGCCTATCAGATCAGAAGCACCTTTCCTATTTAGATCGAGAGGGTATGCGGCGTACAGATTTTTTAGCCAAGTGGATTTTGAATGCAACTTCCAAAAACAAATTAGTATCTTAATTACGTTTTTTGTAGGTAAGGAAAACATCCTGTGGCAGCAATTACATCTAACTTTAGTCCTAATAACTTCCATTTGGAGCAGAAATTAAACAATTCAGCTTTATCATACAACAAAAATGGCTTAAATAAGCCAGGACCTGCCACTGATGCCCCCTCCAAAAAAATAGGTGCATGACACCCTTGTATCACATCTACAACAGCAAAAAAAAAAAAAAAACATACAGTAGGGCACTAACTACAATGAGCAGCAGAGGGCAGTGAAGCTCTAGGTGGCTAAAGCAATGAATTGGTGCATTTTAGTTACGCCCCTTATTCTTACCTGTACTTGACACTCCCACCACATTACTGCTCTCACTGACAAGATCATCCATTACAGCTAGCGCTCGGAATTCATACCAAGAGTCCTGGGAGACAGAGAAACAGGTCAGTGGGTCACAAATCCTGTGAGGCCAACAGGTTGAAGTGTCAGATCTACCAACAGATTTGTAACAAGAACATTTGTAGCAGACTCTGCTGTATGTCAGACTGAATTAAAATGACATCCTCTAAGCTTTTCAGCGGAAATGCATTCCCTCACTGCTTTTCTCTAAATAGTCACAGAACTGCCATTCTCTGAAACAAATGAATGTGCACAAGATGGAAAATTTCTGTAAATTAGACATTTTCACTCAGAAATACATCAAATGACAGAAGTAAATTGGATTTCAAACTGCAAATAGCATTGACTTTCATTTCACCTCTATTATTTATGGGTAACTTTGAGGACCATACAAAAGTATGTAGTGATATTAAAGTAGTAAGTATTACCTGAATAAGATCTCTTGCTATGATCTCAGTCTCAGTGGCAGGAATCAAGTCATCCAGAACCTCCCACCTTTCCCCCAGACGGAACTCGATGATGTAATGGTCAATTGGTGAAGAGTGATTGGCCGGAGGAAGCCATGTCAACAATACACCCTGCTGTGTCCGGTTGGCTGTGAGGCACCGTGGTGGAGTTAGAAGCACCAGTGGTTCAGGGGTACTTATGGGATACCCTAGGAAAGATAAAGGGAGGTTGTAAACGCATCTCATTCACAGGTCCATTACAAGATCTAGTTTGTGTAGAAGTGTCACCCACCTCCTGTAGTCACAGTGACTACCTCACTGAAGGGGCCGGTGCCCAGCTTGTTCTGGGCCAGCACACTAAATTGATAGGCAGTCTTTGGCTCCAACCCCTGGACCACCAACCATGTCTGAGAGCCGGGTACAGGTATGGACAGCCAGTCATGTGGCCCTAAATCATTCTTCACCTTTCTATTGGATTATACCAAAGAGTTCCATTATAAAACTTCAATTGAGTACAATGAAAAACTATATATTTCTTGACAAACAGTGAAATACGAATAAATTGAGATTAAACATTCCATTGATTCATTCATTGCATTTACATATCCATATAATCCATAGCTTTAACAGCTAGTCTTTTAAAAAAAAGACTACACGAAGTACATTTAGAAAAAAAGTGAGGAAGGAACTATATTTAGTGGGGGTTCTGGCAGGACTTACACCGGGCCGTACCAGACCGAGAACGTCTGTTCAAAGCCTCCGTCATATCCAGGTTCCCAGGAAACATTAGCGGAGCTTGTGGATGCTGACACGTGGACATTAGTTGGCGCATGTGGACTAGTGCCTGAAATGGTTATTTTAAATTAGTAGTGTCTGCAAATGCTAGTAATATTGCTCATACTAAATATTATGGATTTGAATTAACCACTAACCCATAGCATTTAACTTTGGCACATAACTTTTCTTAAATGATACATTGGATAAATGACACATCAGATCATGTGGCTTGTGGAGCTGAGACATTTCTAGCAAGGTTTGCACAGGCTGACACCTTTTTGTTTTATGCATTTTTTTCTACTATTTTTATTTATGCCACTTAAGCAATTAAAAACACAAAATTCTACATTACCGTTCAAAAGTCTAGGGTTGGTATGATTTTTAAATATTTTTGAAATAAGTATCTTATGCTTGCCAAGGCTGCATTTATTTGATCAAAACATAATGAAAACAGTAATATTGTGAAATATTTTTACAGTTTAAAAAACTGTTTTTAATACATTTTAAAAAGTAATTTATTCACATGATCCTTCCGAAATCATTCTAATATGCTGATACATGCTAAAACTGTTGTGCTGCTTAATATTTTTGTGGAACCCATGAAACACTTTTTTCAAGATTCTTTGATTAATATAGTTTAAATGAACAGCATTTATTGGAAATATAATTTTTTTTTGTAACAACGTAAGCCTTAACTGTCACTTTTGATCAATTTGATGTGTCCTCACTGAATAAAACAATTAACTTATTTTTTAAAATCTTACTGACCCCAAATTTTTGAACAGTAGTGTATAATCATGAGTGAATCAATCACATATCTACCAAAACCCATTAGCAAAATGAGACCTAGCAAAACAGAATCCATTATATGCCATGCTGAATATAATGTGAAGGAACGAATTCACTAAACATTTACAAGAAGCGGGATCATTGTTAGGGGAGGCATCCGGGAACATTGTCTATTAGTGGCCACAATTCATTCTTAGTGATTAACCCAAAATCTTTAAGGTCTAGGCCAGACAGTTTGTTCTAAAACAACTACTTTCCAAGATGTATTTAGCCTTGTCAGACACAGCTAGAAAGATTTATGAGAAACTGAAGAACAGGAGATCCATTTGTCTGACCTGAACATCCTCTCACTTGTTTTCTGACTAGACAATAAACTAACTCTGTGCACAGACTGACCCAGTCTGATAATAGCAGGAGAGTGCAGGACGATGGAAACACTGAAGTGGAGGATGGATTCAGGAGTTCCATCACATCTCTTATCGGCACCTAGCAGCTGCGGAGGATCTGTTAATTGCTCTCTCATTAAGCATAATCTTTAGACCGTCATGACACCAGTCCATCACCAAACAAATAACGTGTGTGTAGGATTGTGTGCCCGCTGACACATCACTTGTCATCCGAGGGCGAACTCTCAGACGTGACAGCTGAGCTACAGCTCCCACGAGCTACATTGGCCCCCCTACTGTAATGACTCACTTGTGCAGCTTGGCCGGGAATCGTAATGTCCTAGCCTACACTTCCTATCTGGCACATGTTGAGAAATCGCATATCTGACGTATTTTGTGTCCTTAAGAACCTTCAAAATTGAACATAGTGTGCTGACCTAGGCTAAAATATGTACAGTACAGAAATGTAATTAAAAGAATAAAAATATTGTAATTAAGGTCATTTTACAGTGTGCTACACTACAGCCTTCATAGATAGATAGATAGATAGATAGATAGAAAAATGGAGGACAGACAGACAGATAGATAAGTAAGATAGAAGATAGAAAGTAAGATAAGAGTCATTTACCTATTACAAAAAGGCGTGTGCTGGCAGTGATGCTTGTTACTACATTGGTGGCAACACATTCCCACTCCCCATGATCCTCTTTGCTTAGAGACACAAATTGCAAGCTACCACTTGGTAAGATGTTATGTTTGCTTCTGCTGGGCTTCCCGACCTTGCCAAAGGACAAAATAATAAACAATTCAAGATTAACTATCTACGAAAGGGAAAAAATAATATACTTAAAGGGGTCATCGGATGCCCATTTTCCACAAGTTGCTATGATTCTTTAAAGTCTTAATGAAAAGTCTATAACATACTTAGGTTAAAATTTCTCAATGGTAGTGTAAAAATCACCCTTTTTACCTTGTTAAAATCAGCTTGCATTTCCCTTTACATGCTAATGAGCTCTGCTCACCCCGCCCCTCTCTTCTGTGGGGTGACGAGCCGTTCTCATATGACTGTTTACTTTAGCCGCATTTAGCCGCAAAACTTGCTAACTAGCACATTATTAGGAAAGGCGATTTGCAAAGATTCATGAAAAACCCTTATACTCACTTCATCTGTAGGTGAAGCTGGATCACGAATGATTCGCAGGAACATAGACGTATTTAGGTAGATCGGAGGGTGCATTCCCTTCAAAAACGAAAGTAACGTTAATCCTCTGCGTCTTCAGCGGCTCAGATGTCGGGAGTAAATGACGACTGCTATGTTCATCATTACATCCAACAACAAAACACCTCAATTTCTTAGGAGCCATTCTTGTCTACGTCTCTGCTCTGGCATCGAAAAAATGGCAGTCGGACTATTCACAGCTCACTCAGAGCGGGTCTAAGCTAAGACGGCCATGTCAATCAACTATCGTGGGAGCGGCCTGGGTCTGTGTGACGTCACACAGCCAAGAAGCTGAGAATGGCTTGGTTTGAAAAAGGGGATATTATTTATAGATTAAAAAAATACCACGGGGTGGATTTTTATCATTATAGGGTGGTTGTGTACACACATTGCCAACACACATTTATGTTCAAACAACATGTAAAACTGATTTGCATCCGATGACCCCTTTAATGTTGTGGTGGGTCATGGTACCTTTCTCCATACGATGGTTGGAATCTCAGGGTCTCCAGAAGCAGCGCAGGGGATGACCAGCTCTCTTCCCGCCTCCTGACGGTACTCCCCCCCGGGCCTCACGTTGAAGTAAGGGGGGTCCTGGGGTCACATGATGATGTTTACCTCACAAACCACACAACACATCTCAAAAATTCAAGGAAAATGTGATTATTTTTAATTAAGATGCACTGACTCACCTTTAGCACCAGAGTGGCCGGAGGGGACTGTCCCATGGTACCTAGGACATTGTAAGGCACACAGGTGTAGGTGCCAAGGGAGTCTTCAGTGACCTCTGCCACCCGAATGCTTCCGTCTGCCATCTGACTCCATCCAGGATACTGTGAGAGAAACATCAGAGAACTGGAGTGTTGTCAAACAGTCAAGAGTCTTGACATTTCAGACGTCAGAAGTCCATGCATTATAGACCTTCTCGATTCTGAGGGGGTAGCCATCTTTCTCCCATCTGACTGACGTAACTGGGGGGTTGGCATCCACTGGGCAGCGAATAATTCCTGGCAACTTTCTTGGGACGTAGATGACAGGTGGCATGTTCACAACACGGGCAGGGTCTGCGGAGAGGATACGGTCCAAACAGGAATGAGGAACATGGGTAATAATGTTAGTTATGCTAAAGCAGATACCACAAATGAAGTAATCAAGTCAGTCTCGCTATGCTGTCAAAGTACTTTATCCATTTTTTTTGTTTATCCATCATAATACGGTTCATAGCAGTTATAGATTTTAAAGTCTAAATCAACACATCTCCCATATTTTCACTGCAAAATCGCAGTGTTCGAGAGCCTGTGTAAGATATGTGTGGTAACGGAACATGTAAGTGTTATTTAAAGCCCTTCCTGTGAAGTTCTCTCACCTGCAGCAGCCCTGGGGTGTCGCTGACTGATATAGCACAACCCCAGCGGCACAGAGGAGCCGCTGCTAATGAGACAGTCAGCCACTGCTCGGCATATGACACAATATAATGTGCTTTTCCACAGCTAATCTCTTCTCTCTTCAAACTGCCAGGCTATATTTCCCCTCAGTTAATTCATTAAGGATCCCTTGTCACCCCTGACCTCTTTTCTGCTGTGATGATTCTGTTCTGGGTGGTAAAATGAGAGAAACAAGCCATCTTTTGAATTCTATACGCCCCCTTGTCTGCTGAAAATTCACGTTCAAGACAATACACATTTTCTCTACACATGACACTTTCTTCCTGTTGTAACAATCATTACTGGCTTGAAATATTTTCATTGGCGGTCAACTATAATGTTTTTTTTTTTAATGGCAGATACCCAACTACATCTACAGAACAGGGCTGCTGAGGGCTGACTTGTATGATAATATAATATAATATAATATAATATAATATAATATAATATAATATAATATAATATAATATAATATAATATAATATAATATAGAGAAATTATATATAGAACACCCAAAATTCATTAAAAACACTGAAACAGAAAATGTCAGAAAATGACAAGGTTGTCAATTCAAATAATTATATTTCTTAATTATGATAACCTCAATGATTTAATATATATTTAACTGTAGGTGATATTGTAGGCTTGGAACACTGATTTGCATTCACATCTGTGTATTTTGTCTGTGTTACAGCAGCTTCCTTTTAGAATTCAGAGCTGGAACTATTTGTTTTCTAATAATGAATTGAAGTTGCTTCAGTGACAACTCTTGGCTGTCATTTATAACTGTCACAATTCCAATTTTTCATGGTGACCGCAGTATGTAAGGCTTCTCCAATCTGTCTTTTCTATCCAAGAGAGACAGACAGACAGACAGACAGACACAGAGGCAGCTCAGACTCGGGGCTTATCCACCACTTCCTGCAGCACCACAAGAGTCCTGGTGCAGATGGAAGCGAGCTCTCAAACCCTCCAGAGAGAGGCAGCAACTAGACTAGCAACTAGAACATCTCAGATGCCTGGCAGCCACAACGGCATCTCAAAGGGTGTAAATAGCTCTGTCCCTGTACGTGACAGACACCAATTACCCGCTCTGAAGATAGTATACTTGACATAAAACACCTCAAAGGCACACAGGACATACACTGAGATTTCAAACGCAGGCCTGGTGCTGCAGGCTCTTTAAGAGGTTGAAGGTGAAACTCACATTGCAGGGTCAGGTAAGCTGAAGCAGAGGGGGAGATGCCCAGGCTGTTACTTGGGCTGCAAGTGTATTTCCCAGCATCCTCTGGCTTCACTCTGTAGATAATGAGGGTTCCGTCAATAAAGATGCGAACACGGAGCTTCAGATCACTGCAGGGAAGAGAAGAGAGATGATCCGTTTGAAAAATATTATTAAACGTGTTTGTACTGAGAACTGAGGCTGTTACAATGACTCATTATTATGGCAGTCTGTTTCTGCCTCAGAGTGAATAATAAAAAAGGTAATTGTGAGAAAGTTTTAATTGAACGTTATACTTGTTGATGAAAAATAAACATCAAAACAGTCACAAGAATTAAAGCTACATTTCTGAGATATAGATGAAGAGTGCAATAAAGGGAAAGTCACAAGTATGACATTTTGAAAAATCTGATATAAAGTCACAATTGTGATAAATAAAATTGCAGTTGTGATATATAAAGTCACAGTTACGAAAAAATCATGATTGTGATATAAAAAAGCAAGATTGAGAAAGTCACAAATATTATATAATGAAACATTTGGGAAAAAGTAGCAATTTAAGAGTCACAAGTATGAGATTGAAATTTTGAGACAGACAAAACTCTGAGCGTAAAGTCACAATTATGAGAAATAAAATCGCGAGACAAAATTGTAAGACATTGTCAAAGTTATGAGAGTGATAATGTTGGATAAAAAACAATTATGAGATAAAATCTTAATTATGAGAAATGTATGAGACATTTGTAAGTTATAAAAAGTTGCAACTGCATAATGTAGTTGCAATTATGGGAACTAGATACATTTGAGAGGTATAAAACTGCAGTTATTGCAATTATATAGACATATTTGTGAGTATTACATCACAATTATGAGATATAAAGTCACAGTTATGAAAAATAAAGACATATATAAAATATAAATATAAAAAAAAAAAATTATAATTGATGGGAAATGGCATTCAGTTGAATTTTAGCTTCTTAACTTTGGCTTTGGTTGAAGTTAACTTTATATTTTTTCCATCAATAAACTTTGTTCTTTTCACAAAAAAATAAAAATAAATAAACAATAAAACAAATAAAATAAAATGAAATAAAAAATAAAATGAAATAAAATAAAATAAAATAAAATAATTTGAGATTAGATCATATTTGGCAAACCCCCTGCAGTACTGCTTTAGACCCCTGTTAAAGACTTCATAATCTACAACCCTGAGGATGTATGTATGTCTGCAGACAAAAAAATCACTTCTAAGCAAAAAAACTTTTGATTCTTATAGTTAATTTTACAAATATCAGTGTCTACTAAAATGTTTTTACACAAAGTGGTAAGTTGGCCAGCAGTCTGAATATTCCCATGAACATCCGTCCGCCCCTCACAGTTCAATAGTACCGGAAACCGTTATTTCGAAACACTATTCTGGCCTGTTTCCACAGAGAGGAACAGACTACAGCCCTGCATATAGAGGGTCAATACGGCCACGCTTGGGGGAGTCAGAACAGCTTTGGCTCGGCTTCAGTTGATCAGCATGTTTTTTAGGCATGTGATGACACAAGCACAGTGTCACAAGATGTTCCCATCCCGGCATAAAAACCTGCTGTGTGCGCCTCCACGTCACTGCACTAGCATTTGCCTTAATGCAGCTGTAGAGGGCTTGAGATTCAGGGATTCTGGGTCTAAAAATATATGTGGCTCTAATCTAAAACCGACAGACACACACACACACACACACACACACACACAGCAGCTTCTGTGTTCAAGACTCTGAGACTTGGCACAGTAGTGAACTCGATCATAACTTTACTTCTTGAAGTAGACGTTGTCCTCCTCCCAGTACCAGGTATAGGTCAGGTTGCCAGGATACGCCTCTGCTTGGCACGTAAATTGGGCATTCTGGGATATGTTAACAGTGATGTTCTCAGGTGGTGACACGATGTATGGAGGACCTGGTGGAAGCAAACAGCGACAAGGGTTATAGACAGACAAATAAGCAAAAATCAAAACAGAAAAATTAGGGTTATTGTTTAGACTAATGCTGTATGTAAAGTTGCAATTGTGAGGGAAGCAATTATGAGAACTTTCTGAGATGAAGTCACAGTTCTGAGATGTAAAGTGTAAATTATAAGAAATATACTGAAATTGTAACTGTGAGATATAAAGTCACAATTGAGAAAGTCGCAATTGTACAGTCAAATTTGTAATTACAAGGTGTTGCAATTATGCGAAGTAAATTTATATTTGCATGAAATAAATTTGCATTTATGAGATATAAAATTACATGTACAGTATGAGAAAGACATCTGTAAGATAAATGGTTGATGTTTATGAGATAGACACATTTGTGAATTAAAGTTACAATTATGATATATACAGTAACAGTTATGCACTGTAAGAAAAACTGTAGTTTTTACAAAATAATTTTGTCATTTTTGTCTGCCAGAATAATTTTGTAAAAAATACAGAAATATCAAAGTTCATCACAAGTAGCTTTTCCACAAGCTGAAGTGTATACTAATATACAGAAGGTGCACAGAGTCATTCATGCAAACACAACACACCATCATGGTAGCACACATGACGCATAAATAATGAAATAAATAATTATTAAACAACAGAAGATGTACCATAAAATCCTAATGTACCTAACTGATAAAACCATTAAGTAACATGATTATTCAAACAAAACACTCTCAAATGTGAAGTATCAAGCAGGAAATTCTGGGAATATCACTTTACAGTTTTTGACTGTAAATTATACATTGATTTTCTCTTTTTTACTTCTAAAAACTACAATTAACAGCATTTTACTGTAAAATTACATGAAATGTCTGGTTAGATCTTTTACAGTTTTTCCCTGTATATACAGGTGCATCTCAATAAATTAGAATGTCGTGGAAAAGTTCATTTCAGTCATTCAACTCAAATTGTGAAACTCGTGTATTAAATAAATTCATTCTAATTTATTGAGATGCACCTGTAGTACGGGAACTTACTGTTAACCTATTGTGAACGTTTTTTTTCCCTAGCGTTTTTACAATATTTGACCGTTAAAATTACACAGTGTCAAAAATAAAGACACATCTGTGAGATGTAATTTTTTTTTTTTTTTTGGAAACAGAATTTCATTTGAGCTGATGGCAAATAACTAGCATTCAGTTCAATTTTATCATCTTAAAGTCCGAATGAAATCAAAATGTACAATATTCATTTTGTTACCACACATTGCTAGTATTAAGGTGAAAAATTAATCCGTGCAAGTTAATCCACTGAAGAAAATTATTTGTCTTCGTAATCTTTAATCAAAATCTAATCATTTGCTTCTGCTCTGGAATGGCATTTCTTCTCTGATGACGTCAGTTTGACGGCTTGGCCATGGCTTGGGCAGAATTCACTTAACCATGCCCCTTCAACCGTTCGTTTGCTGCAAGTGAAAGATGAGAGGAGGAGCGCAAAAATAAAACCCCGCCCTCTATTCTATAGTTCCTGCTTCCCCTTCCATTTGTTCTCTGGTTCTGAGCCAAACAAGATAACAAGACTAATCAAGAACAACCAATTACAACATAAGACTAATTAAACAAAATTAGTTGTCTAAATGACAACCTGTAAACTCAATGTTAACAAGCTAGCATGCTAATGCTAACATGTTAGAGTGGTTATACTTTCAAAACAGTGTGACAGTGTGCCAGCCGTTTGCCTGCTAACTTTCTGTTTCTTAGCGTATTTGCTGCAAGTGCAAACACATTTCATTTTTGTTTATATACACAAGGGAAAGGAATTATTATCTGTGGTAATCAACTGCATGCCATAGATGTGGTAGGCCTATTCCTTGCAATTATCCTAATTCTCCTCCATGTTTATGTGTGTATATAAACCCGTCTAATAAAGACAGCAAGGATCCTACTGTCAGACCTTCCCAAAGAGAATATTAACCTTTCCAACAAGAGGCTGTCACTGAAATTGCCAATAGACTTTTAATTAGATGTGTGGGTAGGCAGGAATACTATCGTGACACTCGGACCGCTGTGAGATTTGTGGGTGCTCTGCAGAAAGATCCAGCATGAGTGCTACTCTTTGCACAAATAAACCCATAACTAGCTGTGAAATATCTTCTAATCTTAATGTGTGGACTATGCTGAGAGCTTCCTGGATGTTTCCTTAATGTGCAGTAAATGACACTGCATCTAAGGGGATTATTGACAGTAGCGCAGCTTTGCTTATTAAAATGAAATCGCAAAAGGCATCACTTGACAGCGTCTAAAAATATCCCTGGCATTGCTCGCGCTCGTGTTATTGAAGCAGGTATTGAAGCAGGTTTTAACTAGAGTGCCTCTCCAGAGGCTTCATGAGAATATTGCTTTTTGTAAAAACAATATTGCTAGTTTACTAAACAAAACAGCCCATGGCCAAGGCAATTTTGGCTCGGCACAGTTCATATGTGTCTCCATCTGACTCGGAGGTACTCAGACGAGAGCAGACGATCCTCTTCTAAATCACTCCAACTAAAGCTCTAAATTCCAGGTAGGGCAGATGATATTGCTTATATATATGATCAGATATTCAGTTTAAATGTTTATGTACTCGGAGTGGCTTAAATCGGTAAGATTTAATCCATCAATTCAATTAAGCAGACATTGTTGCCAAGTGGATTAAAAAAGTATAATGCAATTAAAATCTAATAAAAAAACTAAAATAAATAATGTGTGTATATAAATATATGCACACACACACACACACACACACACACACACATATATATATATATACAGCCAAAAAAATAAGAAATCAGGAAGGGGGCCAATACTTTTTCACACCACTGTATATATAAATAAAATTATAATTATATATAAAATATATAAATATATATATATATATATATATATATATATTTACACACAAAACATTATAACATATACTAAAACATTTTTTTAAAAGCCTCACACTGACTTTTTACATTTTTAAGTGATGATGCAAACTAATTTTGAAACATTTATTTGAAATGAACAATTACATCTGATTCAAGGAAATGAATTAAATTATTCTTATTCGGATTATCTTGTTACAAAATCTCACACCAAAATATCGCAAAATAAGTCTAATGTCTAGGTCTCTTAGAAATGTAATGTCCAAGTAAAAAGCAAAAGCAAAAAAAAAAATGCATTAAAACAGGGGTCAAAGATATTTATCAAATCATGAGATAAATCACGATTATTTAATTATATTGACAGTCTTGTTTTAAATATTTAAAAAATTACTTTAATGATGTGAATGATCAGAAAAAGAGATGTCAACGTTATGCAAAGGATATTTTATCTAGATAATTTTAAATAATAATTTGCATTGTCTTTAATACTGTATCAGAATAAAAGCCGATTCTTTTGAAAACAACATAACTTCTTTGTATAATTTTAACCTTAATATTTTACAAACAGCATAAATTGGTCTTTGTGCATGAAATCACAGCTTTCATACATTAGCTTTCACTAATTTAGGGAAAAATATTAAATTGTTTTGAAAGCCCTGCATTAACATTATAGTAATATTCAAGACCTTGCTTCATTTTTCGCCAGCAAATCATCACACATATATTGTTACTATTCAGTATATATCAGCCAGCTCTTAGCAGGTTATGTAGGGAGTACAGACAAGAAGCTCCACGATGTTTCCTGGTGCTCTGTGATCACAAGCGTCCTCTAAATTCTCTGTTTCCCAGCACAAGCTGTGTGTTAGCGTGCTGCTCTGTATTCACAGCCATGCATCACTGCCATAAATCTGACTGCAGTGAAAGCCACAAAGCCAGTGACAGGCAGCTTGCTCATGTTTGCTGTCATACTGTACACGGCCCATGGATAATAAACTGAACCACTTCATCATTCTGTTCTAACGCAGAGGCCATATGGGGAGAGACTGTGGTACCAGTACCAGGTGCTGACTCAGAGCGAACAACCATTATTCTGTTTGCATGTGCATGAAACTCACACAATTATCAAACAGATCCCCTCATATCCATCATGAAAGAGACAAAACAGGCAGATCTTTTTCCAGGTGACGTTTGATCCATGGCTTAAATGGACCAGTGTGATGATGACAGATTTATTTTCCCTTTAAAGGAATAGTTTAAAGCAAGCAAGAATAGTAGTAACCAACTGTTTGGAACGTTCCAAATGTTGAACACAAAAGAAGATCTTTTGAAGAATGCTGGTAACCAAACAGTTGTTGGTCCCCATTGACTTCCATAGGGAAAGAAATACCATGTAAGTCAATTGGGAACCATCAATTGTTTGATTACCAGCATTCTTCAGAATATCATCTTTTGTGTTCAACATAAGAAAGAAACTTATACAGGTTTCGAATGAAAATGGTCATTTTTGGATGAACAATCCCTTTAAAATCATTATTTTTAACTTGTTCTCAGAAGCCAGGCCAAAAGGTATGGAGGCCCATTTCTGTCATTTAAGAAAACAAAATGCTTTGGTAAATCATAATTATGAGATAAAATGTCATAATTATGAGATGAAATATATACATTATGAGATACCGAGTCATGGTTGAGACGAAAAGTCAAAACTATCATATACAAAGTAATAATTATAAAGTCCATTATAAAAGTATACATTATGAAAAAATTAAGTAGGAATCATAAGAAAATGTCAAAATTTAGATCAAATTTCAATATTTATATCAAAAGTATTAGATCTTTCAAATTTTTAAGTCAAACCTATGAGATACTAAGTTATATTCATGTCATATATCATGATTACTGTATGACTTAGTATCTCATACTTTTGATTTTTTATGTCCTAACTACAACATGTCAAAATGATGACTTTTTATGTCATGGGATAAAAGTCAAAATTGAGATAAAATGTCATAATTATTATTAATTGTATACTTTTTACTTTTGACATTTTGTCTTTTTATGTCCTAAAGAGTATCTCATAATTTCTAC